GGTTGAAGTATTGTTGTATTTCCTCAAGCTTAGAATGCGTCATCGAAATAGGGAATGGCCCCTATACTATATTTCCATAGCCTAGAATAGACAAACCAAACATGATGAGGGAGCATTTTGCTTTTCTACTTTACCTGAAGGTCACTGTATGTTCTCTGCTTGCTTGGGAAAGGAGTTTTGAGGGGAAGTTTAGTCCGTTAAATCAGCAGCTAGACAAAAACAAAATCTAACACACTGAAGGATCCAAATTATACAATCTGCTATAGCAATGCAATTCAGTAAAAATTCAGTATCATAGAGGTTTTTAGGCTTTTCTGGCCACATTTGAAGTGGATGTAGTCAACCTACTGTAAGGATGTCTAAGTAGTTAAGCAGTTGTTTCCTGTTGCAAAGAAATGCTGCTAAGGCTAAGACTGAGTATTGTCATGTAGATACAGTATGTTCAGGTCGCAAGGCTTATCAGACATGTGAGGTTTAATGCAGATTTGACCTGCATTTACAGTCAATTTAGCATCATCAAAGCCTTATTAGCAGACTGACATAGATTTGAAGCCTACCGGATGAATGCCCGAGGACGAGTTTGTCAAACTGCAAGGTGTGGAAATGACAAAGGATGGACCAAAATTGTACCAATAAATTCAAAATGACAGATTTCCTCTCTGGATTAGGGACTGGCTCAAAAAGGCTCTTCTATTAAGCCTCAACTTAATAGACAAGTCCCCTCAATTTCATACATCTGGGTCAAAGTGAAGCAGGGTTAGCTTTTATTCCTCTAAACTGTTCAGGAGTGCCTTTAGCCATTTTACCATGCCCATGCATGAGTACCATATCATACATAATTTTCACTAGGGTCCTCAAAAGTATTTTGTGGAGAATCCATGCACTACTGCAAGGACCCTGATAACTTGTTGAAGTGATGCATAGAAAATAAATCTATAAACCGAAGGCACATTTCAATGTGATAACCTTTGCAAATCAAGATTTCATAATCATTCCACACACAGTTATATAAACTGTACAGTTAGTAATTGTATCATTTGATTCTTAGTTGGAATGCATCTGCAAACGTGCAGCACTGACATAAAGCACAGTTTCAGCATGTGACAGGAAGTCTGCGTGCATGTCTTGAGATCATAGTTCATTCCTACACATATTATTCAGTGCACAGCCAAACAATCTCTGTATGTATTGAGGATTGAATTGATTGTTTTGCTGTGTTTTAAGGTAAGGTAATTCTGCTATGTGATTGTCAAATAATTTATTAAATTTCAACATTTGCAAGAATGTACCATTAATGTAATCTGGATCTTATTATTTTTGCAAACAAAGGTTATAGAAAGACTAATTCGACTAAAATGGTAAAAATCCCTTTACACTTTAAATAAAGTCCCAGCAGGACAGCAGTTTGACTTGCTATTCTGATTACTGATGCACACACAAAAGATCCTTTTGTGGTTTTGTGACTAATTATCTGAGCACTGCATTTTTCTTGACTTATTTCTCCACCTGTTGCTTCAACCAGACTCCTTCAGGGTGTTAACTTGGCAGGACGGTGTACAGGGGTTTTATTTTGTATCGGACAACATGTGTTTTTAAATGATTAACACCAGTTCTTATAGCCCGTATTTCTTTGTCCAGAGAGAGATTGACTTCCTCTTTTCCTGACAAGGTTTTTACTTGGCACTCACACTATCTGTTTGTGTTTGTGATGAACAATGCTTGACCTCTGTGTCTGACAGTCAATTCATGGTTAGCTTGTCCTGACTGCTTTTATTTCTCCTCCTTGAAACACTTGATGTAATTTGTACCATATATGTTGAATGGATTGTAATATAATGACTCAGTTATATGTGAATGGGAAGGAAAAGAACTGAAGGCTGATTCACACTTAAGAGGCAGTGGATCATTTGTTGCCAGTAAGTTATTGTGAAGAAAAGAATGCTAATATCATTTAATTGTAAATCACTGTGCAATGATATTTATTTGTTGCTATTTATGTTGTTTGGCTGAAACTAATAGGCTTCAGGTTGGTACATTTTCCCAGATGACAAGGCTGTGGCAACACTGCTCATGTGCAGGGCATGGACTCCTCTGTGGTTGCTATCAGAGTAAGCTTCGCTGGAGCACCACAAGTGCGTAAATGCTCACTTTATCACTGGTTACAATCTGAATGGAAAAGGCTTCAACATAGTCACTAACAGGGGCCTGAGTACTTTTTCGGATATGGAAAAATTCCATGCTAAAAGGGTACCACACATATTTTTGTGTTAATTACTTATTTGAACTGCTTAGTAACTGCTGCTGAAATATTACTTGATCGCTGACCTACCTGCCCTTTCAGTTCCTCTTAATATTCACTAATGGAGTCTAATGGAAGTAGACTTTGTATTTCTGCTGTTTTAGAATCACGACCAGACATTTTATTTTTAAAGCCATGTCAATGGCACCATCTTCTGGCTAAACTGGGAATCTATATGAAGACATTGAAATTCTACCTATTTC